ACTGATACTCCTTGAGAATTATGACTGAGGTACACATAAGAGCTTTATTTACATCGTCTGGAACTCCTGACAAGAATTTTGGAAGCAGAATCCATGTTCCACGGATTACATTACAAACACAGTCATGAAGTCAATCAGCGGCTCATCCTGGCTTCCTTGGTGCCTCTGACTCTGGGCAGGCCGGCACACTTTGTGCCTCTGGGCCCTTGGTTTGTACTTGGCTTGTAATTATGCATTCAGTCAGACCCTGGCTGTCACACACTCCCTCCAGGACTTCGGGCTGCCTCGCACACTTACGCTCCTCAGGATGGGGCTCTCTGTCTTGCGTCTTATGGTCTCCTGTCCTCGTGCCTCCTGGGTGGTGTACATGTGGCCCACGCCAGGCTCTCTGGCTCCATCTTTCCCTGGCTCCCCCTGCCTAGACAGACTCTCCATTAAATTTTAATTCCTCATTCTTATCATCCCTTTCCCTCTCTATTTCTTCCTCAAGGGGTCTTTCTGTAGATACCTTTGGCCCAAATTCTCTTCTCCCTGCATCTGTCCAACTTCTACTCGTCTTCATATCCCAGCTCCAGGCAATGCTCCCTGCTTACACTAAGGAGCTCAAATCCATCTAATATTGACTTTCCTACTGTTGTTTATCTCTTTGGCAATGTTTATCACTCTTGTCACTCTACACATAGAATGCTTCGTCGCTTGTCTGTGTCCTGGACCAACTGTAAGGTCCACAGAGGTAGATTCAGTGATTTCCTTCTCTTTTCTCAGATCTAGATTCCACTGGCAGCTCTGTCACTTACCAACTGTGCAATCAGGTGGAGCCACTCCAACATTTCTGTGCTTCAGTTTCCTTGTGAGTATCATGGGGGGAAGAATAGAGATCAGCTCATGGAGTTTTATAAGGATTAAGTAAGATAAAATTTGTGAAACCCTTAGAGCAGTTCCGGAGACACCTGAAGTACTATGCAAATATTTGTTAGCTAAAACTCAGCTAAAAAAATGTTTGAATAATAGATGACAGAAATGAATTAATATAACTTCATGCTTTATTTCAGGAGTTTGGATTTTCTCCCACACTATCTTCCTTTGCATGATGTTCAAGTGGAACGTGTCCTCCAAAGATGGAGCAGGTGTTAAAGGGATGGGCTGGAGGTCTTATTAAGTCCTTGGCAGATACTCAGCCCTGTCCCATTCCTAGGGCTAGAAATGCTCAAAAGTGTGTGTTAGGGAAGGGTGACTCAGGGCATAAGCCTGCACGAGTTCCCAGACACAACTTTTCCGAAAGAGTTTCTGGGAAAACCAAGACCAGCAGTGGGCACTGGAAATGTCATTCTGCAGTTTCCTGCCAGATCTGCAGCTTGGTCTGCTCAGGAGGGGGACAGCCTGTTGGATTATGGGACATTTCTGAGGATCCTGACACAATGAATAATTTTATTCTTGTCAAGCCTGCAGATGGCTAAAACCAAAACACAGAAATTATGCAACAGATCTAGTCACGTAGCCGGGGTGAGATGGAGCTGGGTCATATCTCCAGACTCTAGTCTTACGTTTAATCTGATGAGATTCATGGTTGTGCTGTTATCCCAGCAGGGACTTTGTTTAGTTACAGGAGCTGTTAACATAATTTCAGAGTTCTGTGGCCTGCGACTCCCTGGTCATCTAGTAAAAATGACGTTACCAGGAAATGAAAGTACTCAGTCAAAGCTCTGGAGAAAGTGTGTGTCAGGATCAAGTAGGAAAAAACAATTTAAGGAAGGAAAATAGGATAAAACACCAAAACAAAGGCCAGAAATGATCTGTGTACATAAACAAATGAGACATTGTTGTACTGATGGCTGCAGGAGTACAGGGTGAGGATGTTACTGCTTCTGTTATGCTTCTAGAACATACTAGAGGGGCGGCCTTCAATAGTGAAAATAGCCCAGGTTCAGATGAAACATTTTGTAGTTGCAAGTTTGCATTTATTGAGTAGTTGGTTATGTAGAAGGATTTTTAAGGTTTATGAAGATGCAAGAGAAGTTGGAAGAAACATCAATCTTTGACTTTGTGCTTTCTTAGTTGTTTCCTTGGCTCACATCCAGGGAGATAACGTACAGTTAAAACAGGATGGATTTGGAGTTCTGTAGATCTGGATTTGAATCCCAAGTCTACTACTCATGGCATGGGTTAGAATAGCTTGCTTAGCTTCTCTGGACTTCAGTTTTATTATCAATGAAATGGTCATGGCAATATTTATAGGGTCAATGTGGACCTAGTACATAATAGACAGTCTGCTAGGTACTGACTGCAGCATAACCTAGGCTTAATGAAAATGCTAATTTAAGATAGGTTTATCAAAACAGTGTAATAGTGATGCAATCGTAGACAGAGGAAAGGAACATAATAAACAGTTTTAAAATAGACCTGAACAAATGTGGTTAATGGATTTTGAATAAAGGTTCCAAAGTAATTCAATAGGAAAAAGCCAGTCTTTGAAACAAAGGGTGCTGGAGCAATTGCCAAAAAAAAAAAAAAAAAAAAAAAACTACCCCCAAATAAAATAAAACAAACAGAACAAAACAAACTCTTGCTCCATACACTAAGCAGACCATAGATTTAAATACACAAAACAACAGTAAAATTTTTAGAAGAAATAGAGGAGAAAATCTCCATGATCTTGTGTTTAGCAAAGATTTCCTAAATAACACAACCATAAAAATTTTGATAAACTGGACTTTATCATTAAGCAATGTTCTTCAAAAGACCGTGTGAAAGAAATGGAAATATAAGCCCTACAGGGGCAGGTACCTAGAAGATAGCTTTATTTCTTTAGCATTGCGGTCTCCTGATACTGTGATGTGATTTTAATTCTGTGCCCTTCCTTTCTGTGACAGAGGGTACTTCCCAGGTGCTCTGCCTTCCTCGTCATTAGTTATGCCATTGTTTGCTGTCACAGTTGTCACATTTTGCCATGATGGAGGGCTGGAGAGAAGACTAAGGTAGGTGTTAGGAGGTTGCCAGGCCCAAAACTTGAGTTCCATTTCTTGCATGGGGGTCAGAGGACAGAAAGGGCAAGGACAGCAGTGAGGAGTCTGGAGAGACGTACAGGCACTTGAGAAGCCACCGGAAGCCTGTAGTAGCCACAGGGATGCTCAGCAGGGACAACATGCATAAACTGAGCGCACACTTCCTGTCAGCTAGTGCTACGCTTTTGACAGGCATCATTTTGCTGACCTGTAGTAGAAACTTCCATGCCAGAAGAGGTGGTCACCACAGGAAGCAGGGACACCTTGCAGGCCTCAAGAGGAATTTCATCCAGGCTGTCCCCTCCCTGCTCCTGGGATGACTCCTGCAGAGGTGGATTTTGTTCTTCTTGCGCCTTGGACTTGCTGAATCCTTTGGTCTCCATTCGAGATCTGTTCCAGCATGCATGCCTTTGCTTGGGTTTTACTGCTTTGGGCTGTTGGCTTCTGTTTGGGAGTTTATTTGGTTTGAAATTTCAGCTTGTGATTGACTTCCCGGGATCAGGCTTTGTACTTCCTGCCTTTGATCCTGGTAGCCCTTCTCGCCACCTCCTGTCTGCCTCCACAGTTCTTCCCATTTCCAGCCTGTGACAATCCCTGGGTGATTACCGGTCTCAAATATTCCAAGGCCCACAACCCACAATTCTGGCATCAGCAACCAATGAGCATGAGTCCTGAGGGCCTGCCTTGGTTTAGTGTTTCAGACACCCCTGCAGGCTGTGGACTCTTGTCTGCCAGAGATCATGGGTACAGGTTGAAAAGGCCAGGTCTTTCATGGCCAAGGGAGCAGTGAAGTTTAAGGACTGACACAATTGCAAGGGTATCTTCATTGGTAAGCAAAATTCCACTGTGTGGATGATCTGAATGTCAGGATTGTTCACAGTGGGAACTTAAGGGGTGAGCATAGCCCGAAACATTTGGTGAGTGGCCCAGTGGGAAAAACTGCAGCAGGGGCTCATGGTCCACTCTTTTCACAGGTGTCCCATGAGAATTAGGGACAGGTACTAACTCATATTCCCAGGGAGAGTTCCAGAACCTGGACTTCTCATGTTCTTTACATGTGGTGTTTTCAATTCCCTCCTCAGCTTCAACTGGAAAACAGCAGAAGCATAAGGAATGTTGCCTTTACAGTTGGCTCACAAGATGGTCTGGCCACAATTCGTGGGTCATGGATAACCAGAGGCAGAAGGTCCTTTCCAGGTTACTGTTATTCAGAATGAAAGCCTCTCAGGATAAGTGTGTCAGGGTCAGAGGGATTGGCATCAGTCTTCCAGGTTGGGTCAGAGGAGACATTGTAACACAGAGTTTATCTGGGTTTTCAAAATTTGGACTGTGCTCAGCGGGCTCATGGGGAGAATGGCAGCTGCTCTGGTGACCTGGTGAGCTGCCAGGGGCAGCACTGGATGTGTGAAAGACGCCTGTGGGATGCTTCAGAGGAGAGGCTGTGCATGGGCGAACAGGGCCAAGCCTGCTCATGGTATCTATCATCACAGCACACAGCCCATTGAAAAGAGTCCGGAAGATTTAAAAACTAATCATTATAAAAAATAAATCTGTGAGCCTCATGCATAAGACAGGTGAGATCTCCCTGGGCTTTTAAGAGGCCAATTTGTATCAGCCAACTTTAAATCTTGACATGGTTCAGCTAAAAGGAGCTTCAGGTTCCCAGGGTTCATAGAATCTTATGTGTGAAAACTCCCCCATGCCGGATGATTTTAAGGATCATGGATCTCAGGTGTGGAATGGTTTATAAAGGATTTATCAATATTAGATGGTTTGTGAAAGAACTGAAACTTAAGCCTTAGTTTCTTGGTAACAAACCCTGCTCTTGCCCCCAAAAATCTTTCATTCGGGTGATGGGATCTGACTGTCCCTGAAAACCCATAGGTAACAGAACAGTTACCTCCCAAGAGGGAATGAAGCATGAAGTCATTTTCAGTGAGGGTGGACTTCGGGGTGATGGTTACAACTTAGCACATTCTTTTCTCCCGTTTTCACTTTTCACGGCCACCTGAGAGTTCTGGCTCGGCACCGGTGGTGAGGAGTGGTTCCCACTTCCCAGTCTCTTTCTTTTCACAGCTGCAAAGTTCAGAGAGTTGAGCTGCAGTGCTTTGAGTTCACTGCTTATTCTGCCACGGTCAACACTGTTGTAAATCTTCCTCCCGGAACACGTGACGATGCATTTCTTGACTATATATCCCCAGGACAGCAGCACAGCTGTCAGAGCGGAGAGCCGGACACAGAGGAGCAACGCTCTTGAACTCACCGAGTTAGGAATTCAGGACTTGGGACAAACCGTCAACCTTTGGTAAGTCAGCAATGCTATGGGCTCCAGAAACACTGGAAAGGGTAATACCTCTGACTACAGACAGAGGAACTTTTCTTTTCTTTCTGTTTCTTTTCTGGCTCTAAGAAAAATTCTCTGTGAATTGAAAACGTTGAAGTTTTAGAAACAAAATGTGAACCGTTTCTACTCTGTCAGTTAAAGGGTGTCTCTCAGTTTTTAAAATATTTATTTTCCCTATGCCTCCCTGTAGTCTACTGAAATTTTTTAAAGGCTAAAAATAGTGAATGCTCATTTTATGAAACATAAATAAGACAGAGATGTATACCATTGTGACACTAAAAAGTGTCTCACTTTCCCTGTCCCCTCCCTTTTCTCCTCCAGCCTCTCCAAGTTTGCACAGCTAAGCCCTGTTAACTGTTTGGTGGGACTTCTTGCTATTATTTCTTTCATGCACTTGTAAGCTTTTCTAGTACTGTGATCTCACAAACCCCGTGCTCACACACGTGCTTCTGTGTAGCCTGCACTGGGAGAGCTCTAACCTGCAGCTCTCTCCCCAGACCCTGCCGTGTGTGCAGTGCTTCCGTGTGGAAGATGGAGCCTCTGAACAGCACACACCCCAGCACCGCCGCCTCCAGCAGGCCCCTGCAGTCCCATGTGCCCGGCAGTGGCAGCAGCAATGGGAACGAGTATTTCTACGTCCTGGTGGTCATGTCCTTCTACGGCATTTTCTTGATTGGAATCATGCTGGGCTACATGAAGTCCAAGAGGCGGGAGAAGAAGTCCAGCCTCCTGCTGCTGTACAAAGACGAGGAGAGGCTCTGGGGGGAGGCCATGAAGCCGCTGCCCGTGGTGTCCGGCCTGAGGTCGGTGCAGGTACCCATGATGCTGAACATGCTGCAGGAGAGCGTGGCGCCCGCGTTGTCCTGCACGCTCTGCTCCATGGAGGGGGACAGCGTGAGCTCCGAGTCCTCCTCCCCGGACGTGCACCTCACCATCCAGGAGGAGGTGGCAGACGACGAGCTGGAGGAGACTTCGGAGACGCCTCTCAACGAAAGCAGTGAGGGGTCCTCAGAGAACATTCACCAGAATTCCTAGCACCCCCGGGGCCCCTCAAGGTGGCTGCATCAGCCAGCACCCTTAGAGATAGGAAAGGTAATTTTCAAGTGTCTGTTTCACTTTCTTCAGTGCAGCTGTCACTTTGAAAAGACCCCCAGAAATGGGGTAGGGTGGGAGACAGGGCTCATCCACAGGCCTCGAGGTCCTTACGCCCTGAAAACGTGCAGCGTGTACATTTACTTTGGGGCCTGAGTGTGGGGTTCCCATTCAGAACCTGGCAGACTGATGTGCTTGTCCTTTTCTCACTGGTTGCCCTGGGTAATTTTTGCACCATCTTTCAAATGCCTAGGGCGGGCTGAGGGACTAGTTGTGATTTGCTCATGGCCTAGAGCTCTGTTCTTCTAGATGTGATTGGCTGTAAGTAGCACTACTGCGTACCTGTGGTGTTAGATCACAGAGGGTTACAGGCTTTTTTGGGAAGTCTTGGATTAGAGGGGAAAAACTTGATGGAGGATTTTTTGATGGGAGAAAACTAGAACTCTCAACCCAACCTGTTTGTACAATGGAAGGGGGAAAAGGCAACTTTTAAACTTATCAACATTAGCTGAGTTCGTAAGAGATGAACTGGTATTGTGACTTGTGACGGTCCAGAATGCTGGCACAACCTCCTGTGGTCAAAAGCTTCCGTAGAGTCTATCCTCTAAATGACCATGCAGAAGGCTCTTCAGGATCTTTCCAGAAGGGGTAAGAATGACGGGGTTGAGCAAGGTCATGCCATTCCCTCTGCTGTTGTTCATTTTCCCAGCCTAGTCTCTGAGCTGGGAGAAACATACTAGGGGACCTTACAATGTGGTATTGTATCACGCACACTCAAGCTGGGGTCCAAGTTCTGTGCCTCCAGATTGATAGTCATTTGCTGTGTGGTCCTGGGCATGTTGTCAAGAGGCTTATTGGCTTCACGGCGCTCCAGAGGATGTGCCGCCCCAGGGGGCCGGGAGGATGTCTTTCGATTTTAAACTCTGTGATAAATCCTCCAAGGCCTGGTGTGAAGAAGCTTGGACGAAATGTTTCCCCTTTGGCCAGTTAGTCTGTAAAAAGGATTTGTTGATTTAAAGGAGCAGTTGGAGACTCTGAATACATGTGACTGGGGAATTCAGGGCTAATCACAAACCAGCTCTGTTGTAGTTTTCCCAGGATTGGACCAAAGAGGCAGACACTGTACCACATTTTGGTCTGCAAAGTTCTCTGCATGGTGGGCTGTGAACACTCCCAGCTAAGGGAAGGAGAAGTCTAAAAGGATATCTCACAACTGCTTGCCATGTACAGTATTCCTGTCATCAGTACCTTTGTAGCAGAAACTTTTAGCCCTTGAAGACAAGACACACCAAAAGGTCAAATTTAGTCCTAGGAAAAAAACCTTTTGTTATTATTTTTTAAAACATACTGTCCCTGGATTGGAGACATAAAAAGGAGGATAGTTCCTATGGAAGGGTTAACAGTGTTGGAACTGGTTTATCAGTTTGCTTTGACATGCAGCCAGAGGAAATTTATGTTTGGGGGAACAGGGTTAAAATTCACTTTAAAATTCAGAGTGTAGATGTACGCCAAAGGGGGCCGTTTAAGTTGAAAGAAGCCAAGTTAAGTTTGGCCTGTTGCCTGGAATCACTTGAATTCTGAAACTTTACTGCGACGGACATGTGCGGTGTCACATTTTCCATTGCTTAATCCTGAAGTTTGGTGCAAGTCTATCTGCGCCTGTTAAAAAGTGATGTATATACTTCCTTCTTATTCTATTGAGTTGTATAGAATTGTCTTTTGTATTTAACAGTTTGTAATTTTCACAATATTTTTTAATTTAAATAAACAAACACATTTTCCATGGGAAGTCTTGTGTTCTTTCTTTGATTCTTCAGTGCAATCTCTCATTTTGGAGACATCACAGGCATGTGCTCCAAGCCATCTCTGGATCGTGCACATTTTTCCAAATCAAGGCTCTGCTGAAGGCGTATCCTACTGCTGCCCAAATCATGGGGGGAGCCAAGTATGGCTTTTCCATCCTTTGTTAGACTTCAACCTGCTTTGCAAGGAAGGGGGAACAAGCCGAGGACAGTCCTGCATCAGCTACTCCAAAGGCTAGGAAGCTTTTGGACTTGAATGTGTACTAAGTTGACAAGTGTTGTCAAGATGTTGCTCCAGATTTGGTTGCAAGAAAACATTTGATTTGCATGCTCACTTGGCAGACATTATCCATATGTGTGGCCCAGCAGCACGGACTAATGGGCAGGGTGTTGCTGTATATATAACAACACAAACTTATGGACAGAATGAGGCACACAGTCCAGGAGGCGGGGATGGCTCCCTCTCTCCTAGTCTCCTCCCTCTAGAGACTGATGTCTAGGTTCCTCCCCCTTGCCTTTGCTGTACCTCTTTCCGACAGGCTGGAGCATGGCCAAGAGGCTGCAGCCTCTCCTTTGTGATTTTACAAGGTCAAAGTGCTAAAGAAAAATTATCAAACCCATGACCCATTTTGGAACCAAGCAGATGGCTGAAAATCAACTCACTTTTATGCTTCCTGTGAGCTTGGTGTTTCTATTTCAAGAAAATATTCCCATTAGGATCTCAAATACTTGAGTACCTAAAAGATTTACCTGGCAACAGAACGAGGGAAACCAGAGCCTTCCCAAAAATAGCCAGAAACTTTAACTCACCCGTTAATACTTTGACAATGTCAGATGAGATGATTTTAGAAGATTAGAAACTTTTAATTTATCCCAGCTTAGTGTCATTCTTGGTAAGGAAATAGTTAAGAAAAAGTTCTTCTTACCATGGGCGGAAGAAGAGGGAATTCTAAACTCTAATTGTCCTAAAAATATGCAGAGTACACTATGTCGTTTTAATGGAATATTTGTTTTCTTTAAAAAAAAAAACTTCTAAGCAGAACCTAAGGCCCAAGGGGTTTAGTCTGTGTGGATTTACTCATGCATGTGAAAAACTGAGGAGGGAATTTGGCCCTGTGCACCTAAGATATTAGAAACATATTTTAAAAGCTCTTAAAAGTGAGGGGATGAGGTAAATAGACCCTCCTGCTTGCTCCATGCTGTTCTAATTACACCTTAGTACGTCAGAGTCAGGCAGGGATGCTGCAGAGAAAAAGATTTCTGTCGTGGATAGAATCATGGGATCAAAACTACCGGGAAGAGCTGAAGTTGGGCCAAGAAATGAACTCTCTTGGCTCACAGTTCTGGTTGGAAAGTGGACCCTGCAATGCATTCAGAGCTGTGATTGGAGGGCTCATGGTCAGACATGCACGTCCATGGCTCAGATGAAGAGAGGTCATTTATCATCTTGTAAAATGCTGCTCTAACCCTAAATGTTGTAGAGTAGGCAGAACATTGAATTTAAAATGTAACTGAAGTTCCAAGTTTATTGTGCAGGGTACAAATTCACCTTAACTCTGGGCTCTGGGCTGGAGAAGATCGTGGGGCGTAGCATGTGTCCTAGGGCTAGACAGGCTGTAGAGCTTGGAGCTGCAGGGGTATATGTCCACAGCTGACTAGGATGGTAGCTCAGGCTGGGCTCACCCTGCAGAAGAGCAGGTTGTTCGTCAATGGAACCAGCCAATAGACAGACACCCAGTCAGGTTATGTCTGGGTTTCTAGACTTACTCTGCTCTGTAGCTCCAGGGAAGCTACCCAATCTCTCTGCCCTCTCTCTTGCAACAATATTTCACTGTGCTGGCCTCTCCATTTGGGGATCTGTTCACGAAAAGAATCATGAACCGGCCCTGAGAAACACTAAGCGCAGTGTGAAACTAAAGGAAAAGCAGCCTTGGGCTACTTTTAAAAACGTGTCCTGGGCACGCATCTGCAAACAAAGTCACGGAAACATCCTCTTCTGTGGACAGTTTCCTCTGGAGACTGCAGTTTTCAGAAAAAGGACACAGTTTGCCAAAGGAGAAGGGTCATCAGTGAGAAAAGCCACTGTTAAATGATGCCTTCCCTTATTGCTGAAATGTTTCCTCCCACACAGGAAGGAACAGTTTGGGATGTGAGCTGTTACCATGGAGACAAGCAGGAAAGGTCACTTGATTGAAGGAGCCCCTGGCCCACTGGTACTGCATCGTTTGGGCCATTTTGTGGAGTTGAGGGTTTGGTCCTTGGCTCAGGTGGTAAACTTTAGGCTTGCTGTAGCCTCCTCCTGGGGGAGGGAGGGCCCATGCAGAATGTTCTCCCTTTGTCCCTCACAATCCTGTCCTCTCTCCCCACACTCTTCTTATGTGCCTTAAACTCCTGTCCTTGCACTTCCCTTGCACTACTCAGTGCAAGGCTAAGCTCGGTTCTCCCATCCTTCACAACTGATTTTCTTACATTCTCATGGTCAAAGAATTCTTCACATCAGTACCTAGACCCCTTCCCTGTCTGCAGTGGTCTTCCATCCCCATCCATCTTCCCTCCAGCTCTTCCTCTCTCACTTCCTTCCATCAACCAAAAGAAGAAAAAATAATAGCAACCACAGTGCATAATACTTATTCAGTCCTTATTACATACCATCTGCTGACTTTAGCCAACATTTACAACTCTGCTTTGAGCTTCTACTCAGTTCTAAGCCCTTCACTAGGTGCTGGGGAAATGTAACACCTTCCTGAGCCCCAAAGAGGTCAGAGCCTCCATAAAGGTGAATTCTAATAAAATGAATTGTCTGGATAATTTATAACATTAACTGAGAATTTCTGGGTGGAGGGTGCTCTGGCTTTAGGTAGGATATGAGAATATATGGCAGTTTCTCTGAACAGTTTGAGACCCTGTGATATAAACAAATGGAAAGAATGTATGTAAGTTTTTTCTAATATTTGCTTTGCTCCATAATGTCCCATTTCCCCCAAAATAAGACCTACCTACAAAATAATTAGCCTTGAAAAGTAGAGATAAAAAAATGCTAGCCCAAATCAGCCTATCCCTGCCTTACCTCACTTACAAAGTAGCCACAGAGCGAAAGATAATTGATGGCAGGTAAAGCAGGGATTGGCTGATTGGGGCTGGCAGTTTGCATCTCTAGTTTTCAAGGCCTATTGCTTTCCAGTTACATCTTATATTTGGGAAAACACAGGATACTTTCCCTTTGAATATCTCCTTTAATTTCCCCAAATGAAAATGTAGGATAGTTTTGTAATACTCTGATCCAGATTAGAGGTTTAAGAAAGTTAGTTGCTGGTTAATGTAAAGAATATTAGGATTCAAATGCAGGTCTTCTGCTCTAAAATCTGGGGTTCTCTTAATTACTAGGAATGAGACATGAAATGCAGTCTTGTTCTAGGTATCAGGCATCTTGGTGGCACTGTACATGTTGGTCGATTTCTCCAAACACACTTTCTCTTTGGTGAAATGTACATAGTAGTATCTTTTCTACTCCCCTCAGAACTACTTAGGAAGCAACTGGGGGAACAAAGTGTTTGTCTCTGACTGGGAATTGTGTGTAGACATTACTGGTATTGTCCATTATTGGTATTCACCAATATCTAGCTCTTTCCTCTTCTCAGAATGAATTTTCAACCCCTCTCTTGCTCCTCCAGCCCTACCAGCAGGGCTTTTTTGGTCAATGTAAACAGGGTGGAAGTTTTACAGTTCAGTTCTACACTGAGTCAGTGAAAAAGGCATGCTTGATTCTCTAGTCACTCTCTTTGTCCACATATCACAATGAAGCCACATGCTCTGGATGGTACAGATACCTATGGCGGCATCAGCCTGGACAGCAACTGCTCTGGAAAGTTACCTAAACCTGCAGCTGGATTTGTAGGAAGAAATAGTAACTCTAAGTTATGGTGATGGAGAGGTCAGGATTTTCGTTACTGCAGCAAAACTTTGCTGATCTGATTAATACAGGTTATGATCATATGAGAGATATCGAATGTTGAAAGACACCTTCTAGATCATCTAATCCAATTCTTCCATTGAATGCCAGGGGAAGAAAGGCTCACAGAAGTTATGTGACTTGTTCAAAGACACACACACACACACACTCTCTCTCTCTCTCTCTCTCTCACACACACACACACACACACACACACAAGCAAAGTAGGGGTTCTAACTCAGGATTCCTGACATTTTGTCCAAGTTCCTCACATTAAGCATGACCACAGATGTCTCTCCCAAGTCTCAGTGAAGACCACAGCCTTTGACAGTATCCTCTTCAAAGCCTCTCACCTTGAGCTGCCCTGAGTAACACTGCGTCTCTGATGCTACCCCTATTTACTGGTCCCAGGAACCTTCCTATGAATTGGCTTCTTTTTTTTCTGACCCAATCCTGGGTCTTACTGTCCTTTGCTGTGGAGTGGATATGCATGTGCAGGAGTAATTATGCTCCCCAAAGCAGTATGACATCACTGGAAACTTTAATAAAGGCAAAGAAGGAATAAATAGGAGGAGAAAATATTAAAACAGGGTTGAATGTAATTGTCCTGCATGAAACTGACTGGCTTTTGGTTTTCAGGGTTATATTTGTACATATTCCTGCTCAGCACCAAAATGGGTCATATGTATTTGCCTCCCTCCACACAGAATGTTCTTCGGTCTCATATCCCTGGATGATGTCCCTGGAAGGCAAACACAGGAGGTTCAACTCTAATTTGAGGTTTGGGGTAGTGTGGAAAAGAATGGGCACATCCCTGACCATTATTTGTGTATACTTGGTCCTAATATTGAAGGAATCCTTCATCGCTATCTTCTTTTCTACTCAGACTTCTGCCAAAGAACCGGGCACAGTGCTCACACAGTCATTCTAGATTTCTTATTTGAAATCTCTTTTTTTTAATACTCCCATCACACTGTCCTCAGCAAAGTCAAGTTGTCTTTCCCACAGGATTATAAACCCTTAGAA